AATATGGTACAAAAGAAGAACAAGCACAAAATTAAAATCCCGCTAAAGTTACTATCACAACGCTTAGTTTGTGTAATGATTGCTTCCTTTTTCCCATCAATTGTTACTCTACACTTTCATCTAGAAAATATTCACATAAGGGGAAATCATGACACATACAACATAGTCCTCTGAACTTAAGGAGACTAGTTGTCAAAGCATGTTTATTTGTTTTATTCAAATCAACTATCATCTTTTTTTCAGGATCTCTGTCGTTCTATTTATGACAATGACCAGTAAAAAAACACACATAAATGGAAGAAATACATTCATCGTTGCTCATGGTAAAATGTACTGAGAAAAGAAAAATACAAATAAAAAACGGCAGCAGTAAATAATCGAAACATTTTTTGAAATGAAATATGTATAAAGACACACATATACACACACACATATATTTGTTATGAATTATGTTCACTATGACTATTTTTATGCTGACGTTGTTGTTGTTGTTTACGAATGTTTGATGATAGTGAGTTTGATGGTTGTTGTTCAACAACATCAATCATAAACTTCGATGGCTTGGAATCATTACTTAAATGATGTAAACAATTTGGTGATGTATAGATCAGACGATCGAGATAGCATAATTGTGATGGTTTATGAATTTGTAAATGTAAATAAGCATCGTTCAAACAAAACCAACGACGTTGACGACCTAAAACATAAAAATAAAATCATTCATTATCAGATATAATTCAACTATCGATTTAAAATAATAGACTAGCATTTACTGTTAGCATTGTTAAAAAACTGTATGAGACTATGTAATTAAAAGTTGTCATACCAATTAATTGTTTATCTTCCCATTCATCAGTTTCTTCTTCAACATTCAATACGTAAACCGTTGTACGATGTTTACGATCGCAGTTCTAGAAATAAGAGTAAAACTGTGTTAAAACCTAATTATAACCGAAGCAGAAGCAAATATTAACATACAATTTTCTCCATTTGTAACCTAGTGAGGTTACTATACATACCTCAAACACTCCTAATTCTCTTAATATTTTTCCTTTGACACCCGCTTCTTCGAATAATTCTCGATGTGCAGCTTCTAAAGCTGTTTCATTCTTCTCAACACCTCCACCAGGTACAATCCAAGCTCGTTCATCACGATGACTTGTGATTAACAAAACCTAAAGACAAAAAACTTTTGATTATTACTCTTTATTTATAAATAGAAGACAGACCATTTTTTTCTTTTCGTTTTCGATAGAGAAATGCGGCCGACACACCTCGGTTTTCAACTTTTGATATGTACAAATTCTCGTTTTCTATACATTGTGATTAACCGGAATATCTGATGAAAGATGGAATTCGTCAACTTGCGTAGATAGCATAGGAGAATGCGCTGTTTTGCACTCATATAGTGGAACTGAAAGTGTGTAATTGTTTTTTTTTTGATAAAATTCTATTATTAGAAAGAGTGAAGTGTTTTGAATTCTTTTCTTTTTCATAAAAATATCACCTACTAGACGTTATTTTAAAAGTGGGCAGAAATATTATTGACGTAATAAAACTGGATCTTACCTCATTTTCACTATCATTTCTAATGCACACACACGCTGCTCGTTGTCTATAACCATCATCATCAAAATATCGAATTTTGTTATTGGTTTTTTCGCTAGTCATTGTTGCACTCGCCATAACGTACACTATTATTTTTTGTACACAAAAAAATACACACACAAATGTAAAATGTACAAAAGTTTTTGACACGAACAGAACTATAAAAAACGTAACAAAAAAAACGCACGAAAGACTTTTTATTTTTTTGTGATTGTGTTTAATGGATAAACATCACCAGTTTAGCGGAGAGAAAGTAGAAAAAGAAGAAGAAGAAGAAGAAGAAGAAGAAGAAGAAGAACAAGACGGTTGCACGCACACAACTATCTTAATCGAATACGAAAATCTTTCGGTGTTAACAAAAACAAAACGGATTTTGAACGATTTATTGTCAATACAGATAATGACAATGACCAAATAGGTTGTTTCTTGATACCATCGACAGAAATCATTGCCACATTTGAATCTGAAGGATGTTTTGTTTCTTGATTTGAAACAGGGTCGAAAAGAGAGAGAGGGAAGAGATTAAAGATGAAAAATATTTCGACCCAATATCAATAGGAACCTATTTATATCTGGTTCAATCGAAAATGGTGATATCTAAAAGTGTAAAAGAACAGCAGATTAAAAAAGAACGCAAATGGTTACCAATTTATAGTTGTCTATGAATTGAATGGGACTACTCATTATATAAAAACAAAATACATGTAAAATCAGTAAATTGAAAAACAACTCAATTTTACATTTTTTTGTTCTCAAAAAGCAGAACGTTTTAACACTCATTATTATCAATTTAAGCCAGCTGTAATCTCTTACCAGACACATCTATAAATAGACATACACATAGCAAAATGACACTTGTACTGATTCAATGAGATTCTCAATGAGACTAAAAAAATTTTAAATTTCTTTTTGTTGTCTTCAAAAGAAGCACAATTTTATTATTTGATTAAGATAACGTATAGTATTATTTTTATTTTTAGCGATATATTTGCATAATGTATGAAGGAAACAACGTATTTCAAACTTTAATCACCATCTGTAAAAATTCACTTAGTGCCATCATATGTAGACCTCGAGCATGAGGTCACAATGCACTAGCCTCGAAGAGCTCGAATTCATTAAATATATTTAAATCCCGAATGAATTATAAAAGATATGATATTTTTTAAGTTTACATTCATAGAATCTCTAATTTCTAAACCAAAATTTACATGCAAATTGTATCAAAGTGTCTAAATAGTGGAAGAAAAAACGAAAACTGAGTGTGCAAATTTGAGTTCATTAATAAAAAGTTGTAATATATTAAAAATCTAAGATTTCAAACAGAGACGCTCTTTGATATCACAATAAAAAATTTTTTTTATAACATTTGCGTTAGTAACTGAATACTTTTTCAATGTTTTAAGTGCAAAAAGTGCTTGCTAATACAAATATTCAAGTAGAAACATTCCACTTGCATTTATCTTGTCTTTAGTTCGCATAGAATTTGAAGTGTAAGATAAGCAAGCACCACTTGATATTATCACATTTGTGTTTTTTTTTCTCTTCTTAAAACGTTACAATTTACAGACAGTATCGTCGAAACAACAATTTAAAGAAAAGAGACAATATTGAGATGTTTATAAGATCTAAACTCATGATATTTACATCCTAATTGTATAACTTAATTATTTTCTGTTCTTTTTTTTCTTTTTTATGCTAAAGTTGATCGAAAATGTAAAATATGTAAGGTTATGTCAAATATAATATTTTCTCTCTCTCTCTCTCTCTCTCTCTCTCTCTCTCTCTCTAATATCTTGCTAGACTATAGATTACACACAGACATTTAAACAGTTCGAAAACAATATTATCCCAATCGTATAATACATTATTTGTTATATTATCTGTTTCATGTTAAAGTAAGAAACACATATGTACACGTCAATAATCGATTATACTTATTAGATATGGAAGAGTGGAATTATTTTCTTGTTTTTTATGTCAAAAAATCAGAATAGTTCGTTCCCGTTTTTTTTTTGTTTTTTTATATATTTTTATTCTGTTCTTTACTATTTTCTATATGCGAATAAAAAGACTTGAATAATGGATAATAATAATAATAGTAATAACAATAACAAAATGATAAAGAAGAATACACACACGTATTCGAATATACAGCTATCTGTTAGATATCGCGAACAGAAAATGTGAGATGTTGTAAAAAAAAAGAGATGATCCTACGAATTATTACCTAACAGCCTTGATCTATAGAATAGTGTTAATAGTTTTACGATCATACAAGAAAAAAACATAACGTCATGAATCATACGTTCTCGCATTAACAATTATCAGACTAGGGATCAGTTTCTTAAAAAAACGTAAGTCAGGCAGAGATCATGCAGTAAAAACTATTCGTATTTTAGATAACTTTGATTATTTTATAGTAATTTTCTGAATAAAATCTCTAAAAAATTATGTTCAGTCAATTATGATGTGTTAGATGAGTTTACTGACTTCAAATAAAGAAGTTACAAAATTTAAATAATTTTCTATTTAAAAGTTTAAGTGAAAACTCAAATGAAATCGAGAGTTAACTTAAGTTAAGTAGTGTTTAAGAAACATACTTAGCTAAAACGTTTGACTTAAGACGAATTTTTCACTTAAGTTTTTTTAACAAACTGGTCCCAGATTCAGTGCAATAGTCAAAAAATGTGTTACTTTAGTTTTAAATATTAGTCTTCACATTATTTTTCTTTGATATAATTATCAATAGTCTAATGCTATTGTTCAATATATTCTACTTCGCTAGATAATTTACACTTTCTTTATTAAAATCTATGAATGTATATCATTAGTCTTTATGTTAAATGTTTTTCTATCAATGTCGAATAGACAACTGGAGAAAAGAGATCTATGAACATATTGTTTAAAATCCGTTTAGTCTTTTTCTAATAATAAAAATTATGTTCAATAATGTGTGTAGAAATGAATCAAAATCGGTTCTAGTAGTTAAAGTTTCATTTTTTCATTTTATTCCTTCTTTTTATTTTTCATCAATTTCTTCTTTTCTTTCTCTCGTTGCTAACATTTTTCTTTTGTACAGTTCAAGAGGAGAGCGTTCATGTCTTAATTTTTCTATACACTCAAAAACTTGATAATAATATTTCTTTTCTTTTAAAAAAACAAAAAAAATTTGATCTATAATTGCGCAATAAAACTCAACTTACTACATATACACTATGTGTACCAATTTTTTCTTCATCTTCTTTCTTACTGCGAACATTCACATGTGTTATCATTGTCCTTAAATTATATTTGTAATAAAAATGGAAAAAGAAGAAAAATGGTTGATTTTACACTTTTTTTTTTGCAATATAAACAAAAATATCATGTACCCGACAAGTATAACTTATTAGTACGATACTGCCTATAACATTTTATTTCCTTGTGCTCTTTCGATCTCTCATTTTCTCTCTCTCTCAAAAAAATAATAATAAATAATAATTCTGACATTTCTCTCTCTCTCTCTCTCTCTCTTTCTCTCTCTAACAAACAATTATTATTTTTGTCTCTATTCTGTCATGAAAAAAAAAAAGAGAAGAAAATAAAAAGTCAGTCACAAATCGTATAAGAAAGATAGAATATGTTAAAGAGACTAACTATGTTTCTTTTTCATCATTAATCGTGTAGTAGAGAATAAAGTAAAAAAATTAAAAAAAAAGTTGACAGAAAAAACAAACAAGATTTTTATGATTATTATCGACTTACTTTATTGCTTTTCAATGAAAAATATACACTAAAAAATAAACACTAAAATCAACAGTGTGATATTTACATAAATCATTTGATTTAACTAAATTCTTCCATTTTAACTCAAATAAAGACGACTACAAGTTTCAGAGTAATTTCTGACATCAAAATTATATGTATAAACTTGTAGAGGAAGACTTGCTCGATCTAGTGATATATATGTTGTCAAATTCTCATGAGGAAACTAAAAGTAACCTCTCTTTTTTTTTCGAATTTTTATTTTTATTTTTGAATAATAAATATTGCGCATTATAAAGTAAAGTATCCTCTACAAAATACGACCACTCCAAGCGCTCCAAGACCTTCTGTTGAGAAGATACGAATTTTTTAAAGTTTCTTACTTTACACTGAAAAAAACCCTATTTTTTTTACTTTCGAAACGTTTTTCTCTTCCATTCAGTACTTGGTAAACATTCGGCCTTGTAGTGTATCAGATAACACGATGGAGAGCTGGGAGACATCTCATTTTGTAGAGAAATTTCTACTCTATAAGACTGAATGTTTTAAAAGTTTATCAAGTACTAAATGGGAGAGAAAAACGTTTTGAAAGTAAAAAAATAAGGTTTTTTCAGCATAAAGTAACGAATTCGAGTCTCCTCAACGAAAGACTTTGGAGAGATGAGAGTGGATTTATCAAGAGATTAACACATTTTAGTCTAGATTTTGATATCTCCATATGAAAAGAAGTAAATCAAAAATGAATTTTATATAATGCAATGTTACATTTTCGGACGAAGAAAAATACAACCAACACTCTATGAATGGATACTTGATATATTGAGCGTTTTGAACAATATGAGATAATATTTTGTTTTAGAATATGCTCACATTTTTATAGAGATAAATCTAAGAATTCTTCCAAATAGTGAGATATAAACTAGAACTTTTAAAAATAATCTTGTCTCTTACACAATAGCTTTAAAGATTTGTATATCTATCGACACGGAAAAAAATTATCATCGCGTACATTTTTTATTTTTTGCTTTTTGGAGAATAGAAGTAATTTTCTTAATACTATTAGCTTTGCATACGGTTTTCTTCAATTTTTTTGTCGATAATGTAGAGAAAATGTTCTCTTTCTATGGATGTAACCTTGTAAATGCTGTCATTATAAAATTATATAGAGATAATTGAACTTTTCACTTTAATTTGCTCTTTAATTAGACGCCAATTCTAAGCGTTAAAATTATTGTCTACTTAGAATAGTTCTACCTGTTTCTTTCTATGATGAATAATGACACACTGTTAGATTCTATGATGACTAGTTTGTTATAATATGAATCTTAATTGTACAAAGAGAAAATTGTCATAGAAAAAAAAGAATGATAAACAGGCCAAATAAATAAAAAAAAGTAAAGAAGAAAAATTTTTTTTGGAAAAGTGGGACGTTTTTCTTACACAGGGAGACAAGACAAAAACACATTATTTGTCGTACAATCCTATTGAGAAAACTGAAATAAAAGTGTAATAACAAAGTGAAAAGTCCAATGTGGAACGAGTCAAACAAGAAAAGCCTTGCAAAGAGGAACACTTGATGAGATCGGCTTTTTTTTTTTAACGACAAATCTGGAATGTGAGACTGTTCCCCTTATGGATGGACATTTGACAATCCTAATAATAAACAAGAAAAAAATGTTCATCCTTCATCATTCTTTGATCTTTCTCGTTTCAATTTCTTAATAAATGAATATTAGAATATGAGACGCTTGAAAAAGAATATCATTCTATAGACTTAAAAAGATACCTCAAAATCTCTTTATTGTACGAATAGATCAATACGAATCTCTTAAAAAAAACATATCCATAGAAATATGATTATTTTTTTACTTCACTTTTTGACAGCATGTAATGGGGTGATACCTCAATTTGTTGTATTTTTCAATAAAAATTTACGATTTAAAACAAAAAAAGTATGATTCAATTTTTAACATAAATTTTGCTCTACTGAGTTAAACAATTTCGTACAACTTCATTTCATCATGGTTCAAGAGGAGTAAAAAGGCGTACATCAAATCTCTTCACTCTATATTGATTTGAGAGTACAAAATCTCTAAGAAACTATATATCAATAAGACAAAATATGTTTATAAATTCAATCAATCAATCAATTCATCGAATAAAACATGAATAAAATAATTTTTATAATGTCTTCTCGATTATATTATATTTTCTCATTTTATTATTATAAACAAAGTATAGAAATTCATTCTTTTGTTGTTATTTTTTTTTTCTTTTATCTTTGTCTAAACATTGAAAATACAACAAACACAATTATTCAATTGTTAACTATATAGTAAATTATCTTAAAGAAACAAACAAAAAACATGGCAGAAAGAAAAAAGAACAAAGAGTAAATGAACCGGATAATTTTAGAATATTGTCGTCGTTGTACAAAATTTCTATCACAAAGAGAAAATGTATAAAAGTAGAAAAAGAAAAAGCAAAGAGAGTAAACAACAACTTCTTTTTTTTTTTTTGACTAAACAAAAGTCATTCCACAAATAAACGTACAAAATAGTCGTTATATAAAAAAGAACAATAAACAACAAGAACAAGGACAACAACAACAGAAAATATGAGAAAGAGATCAAAGTCGATTATTGGCAAATAACAATCGTACGCATGAAGACTTATTTTAAAAGAGATAATAGCACGAACAACAAAACAAATGAAATATTAGACAAACAGGGTGTTTGTGTGCATGGAATGAGGAGAAACATTCGATTCAATAATATGTATATATACATGTGGGTATACGACAAAAGAAGAACACATTCATGAGATAGAATAAATGTTAGAGTAATTTTGCAAATACATTCGATGAAAATGAATGACGTTTATTTGTAACATGGAATAAATATGTATCAATTAATTTCACATGTTGTTTTAATTTTAATTTATGTATATTATAATCGAATATAGAATTAAATGTATGACGACGCTTTATTGAACATGATGAAGAAGTTAAAGATACTTCTTTCGGTAAAGATGATGAAGGTGAAGAATTTTTAGAAGAAGAATGAATAATGTCTTCTTGTTGTTTTTTTATAGATTTTATAATGTCATTATTATTATTATTATGAAATTTTGATAATGTTTGATTAATATAAATCGATTGTTGTTTAATATCATTTAATAATGTATCTCGTTCATGTAATTTTTGTTTTATTTTTGATGTTTCTAATTTAATTTGTTCATGAGCACGTAATGAATAGGTATTAGAGTATGGAGAATGATCAGTCATTGTTAAATTAGAACGTTGTTGTTGTAGTTGAGGAGTCGGAGAAGAATCATCAATATAGCATATTGAGTCACCGTCAATCAAATCATCGTACGAAGCTAAAAAGAGAATAGACAACAGTAAAAAAATAGATTATATAGTTATGAATTACAAATGTTTTTTTTTCTTTATTACTCACATAAATTTATTTTGTTTTGATTATAATTGAGCAAACATGGACTTGATGATGATGTTAAGTCTTGATTTGTTATTTCATTATTTGTTATATTTTCAAATAATTTTATAATTGATGATGATGAACTAAACAATTTTATTGAATCTGGTGAGATTGGTGATATAGAATTTTCAACTGGCTGTGTGAATGTTGATGAATTTAATTTTGTTCGATATTTTCGTCCTCGACTATTTACACTTTTCAATGATGTTAACGTTATCGATGGTAAATAAGATGTTGATGATTTTGGTGTCAATGTTGTTTGTTTATTTTTACTATTTTCGGAACAACTACGACGTTTAAAAAAACTAGCCAAATCTTTAAGAGATTGTGCTTTTTTCGAACGTTGTTTTAAATGTTCATTGGATTTTGTTGATGTTGTTGTACTACTACTGACAATATCTGACATTGAATGAACAGCTGAATCTTCACTTGATTCTTGATTTTGAAGACATGACGATGGTACAATGGACACATCGACAGATTCACCGCAATATAGTTGTGCCGTTGTTGTTGGAGATGATGCTGAATTTAAACTTGAATCAACTGAACGACTACGACAAGCAGACGATTTCGATGTAACTAATGATGAACGTTTTTTAAATGATCTATCAAATATAAAAATGAAAATAATATTAATCAAAATCAAATATATTTAATTATTCATCACGCTTCATGCGTAAGCTCTTTCTCCAAAAAAAAGAAAACAAAAAAAAAACAATGGTGCATAAGCATTGAGATGAAATATCATTCATGCATGGGGGAAAAAAAATCAAGCTTGAGGATACTGAAGGATTCCATAACACATAACATATCTTACACTTTGACGTATTTTTTCGTTTTGGTATATATATAAAGATATATATCACAGTGATAAGTGATAAAAAGAGATAAACGTTTTTTTTTGTATATGATAAAAGGAAAATTTTAAAAGACTATTTTGTGGTTTAATATTGACGAACCACACTAAAAATAGAGATAGAAGTTCGATGTGATGAATATACTTATTTTTTTTTCTAAGGAAGACGAGATAATCAACTCTTTTCAGAGTAGGCAAGTCAAATCGAGACAATATCTATTACATATAGTATAGTATGTATGCTTTTCTCTATTAAAAAACATATCCATTTGTATTTAATGACGTATATTATTACCTTTTCACAGATATATTAATTGGTTTTAATGCTCCAGGTGAATTGTGTCCCAAGCCACCTTGTTGTTGATCACCACCATCACTTCGATGGGCTTGTGCAAGAACAGATGTATCTGATAACATTGGTGAACTCCATCGTCTTTTTGCCGCTCGGACAATATGTTGAATTATTTCACTCGGTTTTGATTCATTTAATGTATCATCATAGTCACAATTTAATTTTGGCATTTGAGGATTTATTTCATATGGAACATTGTCATATTCACCATGTTCAAAAACCCATTCATGCTACACAAAATAAATACAATTAGAAATTTATTCGTAACTTCTTCTACTTCAATATACTTACATATAGTATGAATGCTTCAATAATTCTAATTTTTTCTGGATTATCAACGAGATTTGATTGTAAAGAGGCTTTACTATCCCAAATTAATGTTGGACCAAATATAATAGCTAAATTTCTTGCATCAATCTAAAAAAGTTATATTTTTGTAAATGAATAAAAGATTAGAAAAATAAATGATGATTTTACTTTATTAATATCACATTTGGATGCTACTCTTCTAAAATGTGCACATAAAAATCTTAACGTTTCAAATCTATTATCATTTAATTGTGCCACTAATTTTTTTAATTCAATTAAACGATCACGATGACAATCAATGCGACTTGATTCAACAAACAGACTGCACATTTCTAAAAAAATAACAACAAATAAACATAGAAGCAAAACCAATACTAATAAAATTCTTACTTGATGAAATAAGTGAATCTGGTAATTTTGCAAAGAATGTTTTTAATGTTGATGCTACCGCTTTGATATCATACCATTTTTCCGATTGAAAATCAACTCGTTCACATCCTTTATCGAGTTCATTTACAAGCCAATTGACGGCTGTTAATCCACCCGCATGACGATAGATACCCGTATACGTAATACCTCTCACTTCAATTAATTTACATAGAATTTCTACTACGATTGGAATTGAACGAGATATGGACGATGATTCACATTCTTCTAGTTCAATACCAAAATTAATACCAGATAAATTGGAATCATCGGCTGTAGAAGTTGTCGATGTTGTTAAAATATTTTCATCATATACTTGACCACTCATCTGTTGTGGTACACCACCGATACTGGTACCTGATTTGAGAGTTTTTAATCCTTTCTTAACAATTTTAACAAAACTACGTCGAGGTGATGTTGATTGACCGCATCCATTATTACTTGCACTTAACATTGATGATGATGAACCACCAATACCGCTACTCGCTGATGATGTTGACGCGCCCTGTTGTGATTGTGACGATGATTTTTGTGATTTGCGAAATCGAAGACTTGGTGAACGTTTTAACGATGGACTACGTAGCGATAATTTTGATTTCGCTTTACTACCACTACCCGAACGAGCCGATGTTGAAAGACCTAGAAAGACATTGAAAAAAATTAGATATTTGACAAGAATATAACCAAGAGATAATATTACGTTTAGATAAATCTTGTTCACTTGTATGGTATGGTACAATGGGTGGCAGACTCGTTGTGGATGATCGTTGAGTGCCTGATATTGATCCTGTACCTAGTGTTGTTGCACTATCTCCTCCTCCCCTACTTATATCATTTTCTGATGATGCAATTGAACAACATTGTTCTCGAACAACTTCTAACCATTCGTGTAACGACTGTATGTCTGGTGCTTGAAATAGAAATTCACATTGAGTCGACGTTGTTACTTTAAATACACGTGGCTTTTTTATATAATCTGAAGCTAATTCGACATCAGCATCTTTCAAATTTATTGGAAAAGAATCATACGATAATGGAATTAATAGACCATGTTTCTTCTCTTTGCCTGAAATGAATAAAAAAAATTTAGACTTTTAATTATATCACACAACAAGAGTATTTACCCAAAAATAGTGCTCCACCGCGTAATACAGCCCACGCTCCCCGCCATGATCGATCGGGTGCTCGTCTTCCATCTTTTAAAACCATTTTACAATACAAAATGCCTTCTTTTGATGGTTCGATATTATCAGCCATAGTTGTTAATGGAATTGTGGCAGGTGAACTTGAAGCAACATCGAAACCCGAAGATTTTGATTGATTTGATGATAATGTCGATTGAGGTGACTGGAGTGGACTGATATTTGATTGTTGTTGTTGTTGAGAAGCAGACGAGGAACGATCGAGTGCATGAATAACTTGTGGCGTCTAAATTATAATAAGGCTTAACAGGTGACAGAAATCACCTCTTAACAAAGTTATTTACTTACCCCTTCTCCAAAAAAGTTCTTTAATTTTCTTATTGCTTGCGTTTGAGTCTGTTGTTGCTGTTCTGTATTTCTAGAATTAAACATAAGTTGCGTAATTAATTATTAATATAAATAAACACCATAGATTTACCTTAATTTTTGATCATCTGTCATATCGTAACCGTATGGTAGTTGTTGCTTGTTCTGAGTCGGTTGTGACTGAAAAGATGGATCTTGATATCGTTGATCGGTTGCTATTAAATAAGATGTACGACGTTTTTTCCATTCTTGTTGTTCATCTGATGGTAACGATCTCGCCGGTAATGACGTAAATGGAGGCACTAAAAAACGACATAGTTGAACAATATACTTGCGTGTCAGTCGAGAAAAGTTAATAGATCTACAAAGCAATACCTTTTGATCTCATAGTTGATGGCGTATGTGGCATATATTCGCCACTACTCTTTCCACTACAACCTAATGTCAGTAATAATTGCTCTAATTGATCGTAGCCAGGCATATCCGCATCATGCATATCTACACACAGAGGATTTACATGTATATATGCAGTATATATATATATAAAACAAAGCCGTATAATGAAAAATAGACATGCATCGCAGTTGTTGAGAATGTTCACCGGGAAAAGACCGACTAAGCAAGTTTTTCAAGTAAGTTTTGAAAATTATAGAGGAATCATGATAATTAAATCGATGAGTCTTATACTTCCTCATTGAAAAAATGCACGTTACGCCTGCAGAAAGATTGACATAAAACTTATTGTTAAGCAGATGACATGCGTATTTTCTAAAGCATTTTTAGCATATAGAGTTTTTTTACCATAGGAATTTGGTTGTTGTTGTTGAGATTGTTGATCATTGATCATTGGTGATCTTACAGCTGTTATATACGATTGTTGACGAATCAAATTTACACGAGATTGATTACCACTTGGATCTATATACTGTTGCTGTTGGGAAGATGGATGAGACGAATAATCTTGACTGGAAAGAATAACAAAGAATGTGACAGATAATGAACAAAGACAAGCTGTTATTTATGTTATTTACCCTTCTTGACTAGAAGAATAATCTGGAATGGCAAGTCGACCACTTGGCTTTTGTTGTTGTTGTTGTTGGACTAAATATCTTGGATCAAATGAAAATTCAATACTGCTTAATTCACCTACTAAACAGAGAAATAACTGCAGGATTAAGCATCATTGGGGCATATGTTATTCTTACTACAAAAATATATTGTTTTAAAGTTACCTCTTGGAATGTGTTGCTGCTGTAATGACTGATATTGATTATCTGTGTGTTTTATTGCTTTGCCTTGTTGTAGTCCCCACTTCATCTGCTGCTGTTGTACTAGAGAAGGTTGTAAACTTAATTCATATTGTTTTTGTTCAATATCTCCATGTCCATTTGACGACGGTGGTGGCGATGTGGGTAATTTTGATTTTAGTCTCGCAAATTTATCCGGATCAATATCTTCAAAATGTGATGCACGTTCCATTACGGATTCAACATCGGCTACTGATGTTATACGATTCCATTCACTCTCATATTTTTTCTTTTCTGAATATTTTTTTGATAAACGTTCACGTTGACGATCATCCGGTACGTTTTCGACGTGTCCCGTTTCAAATTGTTTTTTACGAAAATTAACAAATTCGGTTTTCATATTATCTTCTTCTTCATCTTGTTGAGGACTACCGACACCTAAAAAGCATCATGGAGTATAGTTCATTTCTTAAATAATTGTAGCTGAGTTATTTACCTTCGTTAGAGCCCGTTGTTGTTTCTGTGGAAGGCGATTTCAATTCTTCTTCTTGTATCGGTTTCCGCTGTTGTTGCTGTGACTGCTTTGTTTGCCGTTGTAACTGTTGTTGCTCTTCTGACGTGTTTTCGATCGATGTTTGTCTAAGAGTTTCATCGCTCGTGTAGGGAGAATTTCGCATTGTTGGAGGCTGCTGGAAGATGTAGTCGGTAACGAGAGGTGTGTGAGAACGAGGTGCAGCTTGAATCCATTGCTGTTGCTGTTGTTGTGGAAATAGTGACTGACCCAGTGCACCCGTGGCTGTCGAAACTCGTTGAGATGGCAATGTGTAATAAGTATTTGATGGACCACCAACAGATATATCTAAAATATAATAAATATGATTAATCAACTTGAACACTCACGCTACAAAACAAGAGCACTTACTTTGTCTTGCATCCTGTGGCCTGTATAATCCAACTTCTGCTCCGATTCCCTTTTGTCCTGGCGGGATTCCTGTGAGAAATAATTGTTCTTTATTTCCTTGTTGTTGTACTGCAACTTGAAACGACGGTGTTGGTAATTGCTGCTGTTGTTTATCATCATTCGTCGAATATTCATAAGGTGTGTAATCATTGTATGTAGCCAATGGTGCATAACGAGGCTGTTGATAATATTGCTGTTGTTGTTGTTGTTGTTGCCGCGGCTGAGATTGTCGTCGTGGAGCTGGCTGCATGACTAGATGTGGTTGTGAATAAACAGAATCTTCGTTATCCGTATTCGCTCCTTCGAGTTGTTGTTGCTGTGAAGTAGGAATAGTACTAGTTGTATTATCTAACGCACGATGAACACTTTCAATATATTTGGAGAAAGCATTTGTTGCCTGTGGTTGAGAATAGTTTGATAATGGAGGCGAATTTTCAGATGTTTGTGAAATCCCCCTTGATGTAATCGGCATTGCCCCCTGAAAGTAATACAATGATATAATATAGTTCTTCATCTAGGAAATAAATGAATGTGACAAATACGTACTTTTGATTGATCATATATTGTTTTCGTGGCTTGTGGGAAAAAAATTCCCGCCTTAGCTAGATCTTCTTCTCGACCCTGTGCTATATTTAACTGTAAATTACGTAATTTATTTTCAATCAGTTGTTTAGGATTCAGTATTTGAGCTGGTAGATTTGGACGGTAAGATTTAGATGGCAAAGATGTTGTTGATGACACAGCTGATGTACGACGAGGTTTTGACTGTTCGAACGATGACGGAACACTCGTATCATTTACACGATAAGAAGATGAAAGTGGTTGTTGTGGTAAATATTTGAGAGATGGTGGCTCTGGTATATGATCAGCGTTACCTGAATAAGGTGAACGGGCTTGATTATAGGCTGTGTCAGCATAAGCCTAAACGGAAAAAGAAATATCACTGAATGAATACAGAGATAAGAATGTTACCACGCACCAGCTGCAATACATCATCTTCTTTTGGAACAACAGTTAATACTAAATCACCAGGCCTAGAAACCATAAGAAATTCCATGAGTGCATATGAGAATCATACATTTGAATGACGTAGCAAAAAAAAAGAGTAATGACATCATCTTTAGCTTTGGTTTTCCAGAAAAAAAGCCACCAGCAATAAATATAGATCAATTTTAGTATTGTAAGTTTAGACTTGAACAGGTTCTTAGCGTGAAAGCCATACGCACTTTAGACTTGTAAAACTATAATCGATCATTAATATTGAAGAGCAATAAAGCTGTATAATTTCAAGAAAATAAGAAACTGTTTATTCTTACGTGTTTTGTATCATGGCAATAACTTGTGAATACGACTTTCCAGTAATTGCTTGATCATTTACAGATAATATTCTATCACCTTGTCTTAAACCAGCCTGATAGGCTTCACCATCTTGTCGAACTTCTTTAACAAATATTGTATCCATGGGAAGTAAATCCTGATTTGTTGTACCAGTAGTTCCTCCATTAATGTTCGCTGTGGTTACATCTAGGAGCAAAATAATGGTGCTTTACGTTTCATTAAGTAAAAATAATAATGGGAACACTTTTTTTTTATATAGTTAAACAGACATAAAGGCATTAGTATATATCTGTCTAACATTTTTGTTTATTTTTATAACAACAACGATAGAGAGAGAAAAACAGACTGTTAAAGAATCATTCAAGGATAAATCATTAACATTGAGACAAGACAACGAAGAAAGAGAAAAAATTCTTAATTAACCAGAACATATAAATCAGAGAGTGCATTTTACACATACTAAAAGAAAAATCAGTCATCATGATAACCTAAAGAGAACAGCGTATTCTAAGATCCTTTTTTAATGGTGATATATGAAAGTCAACTTTAAGTCTTATATATTTTCGAGTAATCCATTAATTTCCAAATAGAACAATGTTAAACATTTCATAGCGATAACTTAATAGTAATAGACAGACTATCTTAAAAAGGTCAAATGTCAGAAATAGTTAAACTGCTCTTTTTCGTTCTTTTATCAAGCATAACTTTTACTTTGGAATGATTCGTTATCCTTATTTTCGATAATGAACAAACAATATATATTCCATTTCGATAAAAAGTAAGACAATGATCTGTTCAAATTTTTTCTAAAAACTCACTTACTAGTTATATTTTGTTTAAAGAAACATAAACTTATATACACGAAAAACGCGTAACTCTGCTACCGGAATCTTTGTGCGTTACCGTTTTTTTTCGTTTCGTCTATCCTATAATTTTCGGAAAAAATATCATAGAGGCCTGGAAAGTGTGTTTTGTAGAATGAAGTACGTGCTTCAAAATCCACTACTAGCTCAATTCGAAATAATTGACGACTTTTCGGTTACAATCGAAATACTAAAAGCTCTAAAAACAAACGACAATGTTTTTGGGGCTCTTTGTATTTTTAAGTACAGCATAAAAAGCGTCAATTATTTTGAACTCAGCTAGTGGTGGATTTTGAAGAACGCACTTCATTCTACAAAACAAGACGCTTTCCAGGATTCTACGATATTCTTTCCGAAAATTATAGGATAGACGAAAAGAGAAAAAACGGTAGCGCACAGAGATTCTGGTAGCAGAGTTACGCGTTTTTCATGTATACACACTCTGAAATGACAATTTGTTTTACTGCTTTTGAATCGACAATCAGAAGTTCTAGGAAAGTCATTTATATGTCAACGTTTTTCTGGTCAAAATGAATAATATATTTTTTGACTTCGCTCAAAATACTGTCCAGTTTGTTATCAAAATGTGCTTATCGAAGGTGAAAAGAAAAAACAAGATTCCTCTTTTACTATAAATTAAAAAAGGGTTATATGACAATCGTCTTTGTGTATTTACTTGCTTGGTAACTGTTAATATTTTTTGTGTATGTATGACTATAACGCTTGCTCAGGGTAAGAATAAGATGAAAAAGTTATGCATAAAGGGGAGAATTTCTTCTTCTCTTACATAAGATGAAATAACTAGTTTCTATTTGTATATTATGCACACGGAAAGAAGAAGAAAAACTGTCACACACACGTATAATTCATCAATCAAAGAATAGGAAGAAAAAAGTTAAGAATGTTTCATTACTAGTGCCGGTAATAATAGCATGGAAAAGAGAGATGGAAATTGACAGTCTATTCTACGATGAAAGATGTATGCATAAATAGAAAGTGCTAAATTGTGAAGGACAATCTTTTCTGTTCGTCTTACCATTTGAAGATATTCTCATTGACTGTTGATTGTTACTATTATTATTACCGGCTGGTGTTGAACGTGTTAACAGAGATCCCGAATTATTGCCAACACTACTGTGTTTACCGTCACTATTATCAATTGTGTTTAGCTTTGGTTTTCCAGAAAAAAAGCCACCAGCAATAAATATAGATCAATTTTAGTATTGTAAGTTTAGACTTGAACAGGTTCTTAGCGTGAAAGCCATACGCACTTTAGACTTGTAAAACTATAATCGATCATTAATATTGAAGAGCAATAAAGCTGTATAATTTCAAGAAAATAAGAAACTGTTTATTCTTACGTGTTTTGTATCATGGCAATAACTTGTGAATACGACTTTCCAGTAATTGCTTGATCATTTACAGATAATATTCTATCACCTTGTCTTAAACCAGCCTGATAGGCTTCACCATCTTGTCGAACTTCTTTAACAAATATTGTATCCATGGGAAGTAAATCCTGATTTGTTGTACCAGTAGTTCCTCCATTAATGTTCGCTGTGGTTACATCTAGGAGCAAAATAATGGTGCTTTACGTTTCATTAAGTAAAAATAATAATGGGAACACTTTTTTTTTATATAGTTAAACAGACATAAAGGCATTAGTATATATCTGTCTAACATTTTTGTTTATTTTTATAACAACAACGATAGAGAGAGAAAAACAGACTGTTAAAGAATCATTCAAGGATAAATCATTAACATTGAGACAAGACAACGAAGAAAGAGAAAAAATTCTTAATTAACCAGAACATATAAATCAGAGAGTGCATTTTACACATACTAAAAGAAAAATCAGTCATCATGATAACCTAAAGAGAACAGCGTATTCTAAGATCCTTTTTTAATGGTGATATATGAAAGTCAACTTTAAGTCTTATATATTTTCGAGTAATCCATTAATTTCCAAATAGAACAATGTTAAACATTTCATAGCGATAACTTAATAGTAATAGACAGACTATCTTAAAAAGGTCAAATGTCAGAAATAGTTAAACTGCTCTTTTTCGTTCTTTTATCAAGCATAACTTTTACTTTGGAATGATTCGTTATCCTTATTTTCGATAATGAACAAACAATATATATTCCATTTCGATAAAAAGTAAGACAATGATCTGTTCAAATTTTTTCTAAAAACTCACTTACTAGTTATATTTTGTTTAAAGAAACATAAACTTATATACACGAAAAACGCGTAACTCTGCTACCGGAATCTTTGTGCGTTACCGTTTTTTTTCGTTTCGTCTATCCTATAATTTTCGGAAAAAATATCATAGAGGCCTGGAAAGTGTGTTTTGTAGAATGAAGTACGTGCTTCAAAATCCACTACTAGCTCAATTCGAAATAATTGACGACTTTTCGGTTACAATCGAAATACTAAAAGCTCTAAAAACAAACGACAATGTTTTTGGGGCTCTTTGTATTTTTAAGTACAGCATAAAAAGCGTCAATTATTTTGAACTCAGCTAGTGGTGGATTTTGAAGAACGCACTTCATTCTACAAAACAAGACGCTTTCCAGGATTCTACGATATTCTTTCCGAAAATTATAGGATAGACGAAAAGAGAAAAAACGGTAGCGCACAGAGATTCTGGTAGCAGAGTTACGCGTTTTTCATGTATACACACTCTGAAATGACAATTTGTTTTACTGCTTTTGAATCGACAATCAGAAGTTCTAGGAAAGTCATTTATATGTCAACGTTTTTCTGGTCAAAATGAATAATATATTTTTTGACTTCGCTCAAAATACTGTCCAGTTTGTTATCAAAATGTGCTTATCGAAGGTGAAAAGAAAAAACAAGATTCCTCTTTTACTATAAATTAAAAAAGGGTTATATGACAATCGTCTTTGTGTATTTACTTGCTTGGTAACTGTTAATATTTTTTGTGTATGTATGACTATAACGCTTGCTCAGGGTAAGAATAAGATGAAAAAGTTATGCATAAAGGGGAGAATTTCTTCTTCTCTTACATAAGATGAAATAACTAGTTTCTATTTGTATATTATGCACACGGAAAGAAGAAGAAAAACTGTCACACACACGTATAATTCATCAATCAAAGAATAGGAAGAAAAAAGTTAAGAATGTTTCATTACTAGTGCCGGTAATAATAGCATGGAAAAGAGAGATGGAAATTGACAGTCTATTCTACGATGAAAGATGTATGCATAAATAGAAAGTGCTAAATTGTGAAGGACAATCTTTTCTGTTCGTCTTACCATTTGAAGATATTCTCATTGACTGTTGATTGTTACTATTATTATTACCGGCTGGTGTTGAACGTGTTAACAGAGATCCCGAATTATTGCCAACACTACTGTGTTTACCGTCACTATTATCAATTGTGTTTGGTGTTGATGTTTTTTGTTGATGTTCATCAATAATAACACTATAAGAAGCCTTAAAGAAATAATAACAAAGAGATAAAATTCAATAAGCAAAAATATAAAGCAGACTAAAAGTAGAAGAAGAAGCAAGCAAAATAATAGCAAAACGAAAAAATATATACTAATGTTATTCTATTGATAAAAAAAAAAGTCTATACAGACCAGCGATTTCGATTAAGGGGAAATTCTCTCTTCTCTGGAAAAAATTACTTTTAGTTCCTCACTAAAATTTTTGGAGCATTATTAACTTATTTACTCATCTGAGTAACATGCTTACTAACCAGTAAAAACACCATTACTTATAAAACTATATTTTTTATTCACGAGGATGCCTTCTGAGATGTCAAACTCCAATCTCAATGATCTTTTGTCGATCGATAGTATGTAGTGTGATAGTAAAAACCCTAAAAGGATTTGTGCTCTTGTCGCTTCTTTCAAAAGTTATGATTTTTTTTATTTTGCCTATACACGGTAAAAGAGCGAATATTGAAAAATTCTTAACAAAGCCCAACTACGGTATGAAAAACTGGAGATGTTATCAAATGAGAAATCGCAAACTGTTTCTTATATCTCTCGTTTTTTGGCTATAAAAAACAAAAAATCATACCCCAGGACTTTAATTAGATAGATAGAAATATAGAAACACTTATTTGGTGACATGTATAACGACAGTGGAAAATCACTTTTCAGAAATACACGAGTTTTTCTTAAATAGGGAAAAGTCGATAACTTAGCAGCATATAGATATAGAAAACTGAAACTTTTTATGGATATAGTACACACGTAGGACTATCCTAGAAAAAACTTTGAGCTTTCGTACCGTAGTTCGACTTACGAGAGAATCTTCCCAGGTGTTAAACTCCGTTTTCAATGATCTTATGTCAGTTGATAGAGGAAAGTGCCTTAGTTAAAACCCTAAAAGAATTTGCCCCCATGATTCTCTCAAGAGTTATGATTTCTTTTTGTTTCACTGGGAAAACAAAAAATACCACCTCGATAAAAGAAACAGCGAATTTTAAGCTGAAATGCTTTTCTACGATTGTTCTAACAGTTCGTTGAGATCATAGAAAGAATCAGCGTATCAGCCTCTCTAGAGAAATAATCTACTTAATTCTCCATGTTTTCCCAATAATTCATTTTTCTTTTGTTATGATTAATCATATGTTGTCCTGTTAATGTTAACCTAATGGATAAACTATCTTCTCTCTCTCTTCGCTCTCTATAATTTATTTAATTTGTTTGTTTCGGTAATGTAATTGGTTCTCTATGTGAATAACAGTTATTCCATCATTGTAATGGTTTGGTAAGATTGCTATTCGGTCTTTTCTTTTATACCTGTTTTCCCAGTGGAACAAAAAAAGGTCGTAACTCTTGCAAGAAGTATCATGGGGACAAATCCTTTTAGGGTTTTAACTATCACACTATACACTATCAATCGGCAAAAGATCGTTTAGATCGGAGTTTGACACCTCAGAAGGCTCCCTCGTGAGTAAGACTTACTTCCCATCTTAGAGTCTGTATCGAAAACGCTGGTGCAGACAGACGTATGTGACGCACTACGAAAATCAAAATTATCAATTAGAACCATATAGAATGTGTATTGTCGACTTTTTAAACAAATTTTGATTGATATAGCTATTTCACGAACGAAATTTCTCTCATCATTTTCAATACTATTCTCACAGACTTCATTCATTTTCTTTTTGGTTCTAGCTTGGTCAGACATCCCCCATGTAGACGAAATTGCGGTATTTTTAACAACTAATCGCGATTCTTGAAAAATCGCAGATTAATTGGCGATTCCGATGATTTTTCTTTTTTTTAAAAATCGGTAATTTATTGCGATTAATTGTTGATTTTAAGCGATTAAATGGTTATTGTTATTTACCATTTTATTTTGCAGTAAAGTATGTATATAAGAAACACCATTTCAACAAGAAATACACTTCTATTTAGATCATCTTTTTATTTTAGAGTAAAACGAAGTTTGTCAAGTCTTCCTTATGATGCCTCAGAGCTTTAAGTCGAGGAGCCCCGTGAACAGCTGGTATCTGAGCAATGTCTAAAATCGACTCGTCGGAAAGGCTCCGGCTTCAGCTGGTACTAAGACCCTTGCTGGATGACGTACATGTCATTAAACATAATAAACAATGAAAAAACAAAAAAATATGTATTTTCTAAGATGTGTTCATAATTATTACCAACAAAAACGTCGTCAATTAATCGCGATTAAGCACATGATTAATCGTATGATTTTTCGCGATTAATTGCCGATTTTTAGTACATGGGCCTACAATGAGTATTGTACAATGATAAATTTGAATATATTCTTTTTTCATACATTTTCAGAAGAAAATAGTTATTAAAACTAGAAGTTGCAAATACAGAATAGCATTATAAGATGAACTTTCTTTTACGGATTATTTCGTATATTTTTCTTCTGAAAATGAATGAAAAAAGAATATATTCAAATTTATCATTGTACAATATTCATTGTAGGCTGTCTAACCAAGGTAGAACCAACAAAAAAAATAGAATAGTAGTAAAAATTATGAGAGAAACTATTTTTGCTGACCACTCTGTGACTTTTGTACAGTTTCGTTCTGTAATAAGAATATTATAATTTGTGCTCATTTCGTGGTCATACTCAGTTCTAGTTTCTATTATACAGTAATGTGAAATATTTAGTACAGTATGTATACCATGTGTTAGTCTGTGCGGAAAGCTAAAAAGATATGTAAACTGTGTGAGCTCTGATTGTTGTTGCTCTTATAACAACTCTTTTGGTTGTAGCATATAAAGCCAAGCAATGAGAAGATTTTCAATTTAAAACTTACATGCTCAGCAATTTATATTGATTTCGAATAAACAAAATAAAAGATCTATTCTAATTTCTTAAAATTTTTTTAGTGTTAAATATTTTACTTAAATTTGTTTTTTTATTTGTTTTTGCAGTACCGATACATTGTTTTGCTGATATATCGTGACATCTATGTATTGTACAGTTTGATGAAGATAATGAATTCTTACAGTAGTTTAAAAAATAGATTTAACTAACACTTATTCGTGATATTTTTGTCATTCAAACGAAACTTACATAGTTTTGATAGATGTTCATTGAAAATCTTCTCATTAGCTATATGTACATTTATGAAATTATCATAGCAAAATATTTTGTAGCTTATTTCAGCGTTTTCATACTGTTTTGACTTGATGATCGATTTTCAAGGCTAAAAACAGTTTTAGCTACTATAAAGAAGATTTTGGAACAGCTCCTACTCTTTCAATAATGAAGTACAAATATCTTACTTGAAGTAAATCATTGGCATATGTCGATGGTGGATAGATAACAAAATGTCGTAATGTAAAACCAAAACCAGCTTCCGTACGACTAATAATAATATTTTTTACTAATTTCATTTTTGTGGATAATTTTACATGAACAAAACATAACAGAATAAACTTAAATTATGTTGTTTTACAACATAATTTTTTAAGTTCATCATTAATTGTCAAACAGTAACGAGTGTAAGCAAAAACATTTTTCGTCTTGCAATAATACTAAAAACAAATAAAATCATTTTTAAAATCAATTGAATTTTTTGAACAGAAGATATTTCTATTCTAGTATAATATTTGTCTTAAATTCTATTTCAATCTGATAGATGAAAAAAAAAATCTTTCTATCTTCTCCTACACAAATTTATTATATTTCAAAAATATACGAAGGATCAATCAAAACCTACTGACTGACATTTTCTATTTCGTATTTTATTAAAAAAAAAAAGAAAATTATTACGTAGTAGCATGACACAGCTTACGTTCATCGTAGTCAAAATAAAAAAAAAAAAAGAAAAAAAAGAAGAATATTATTTTTGTCTCATCCAATTCTATAGCTGTGTACAACGAGAGATAAATACCGTATGTCGCACCTAATTACATTCCAATGTCTCTCTTATTTAGCATCGTAGTACAAACACATGGAATAGAAATAAAAGTACCAAAATGGGAGAAAAATGAAACAACATATAGAAAAAAAACCTAATATTGCGTCTGATTATGATAATGATAGTGCCAGACCGATAAATAATAAAAATAATATGGACTATGCAAATAAGTGTATCGTCTTAATATACCGATTATCCTTTTTTATGTTTTGAAATAATAGAAACATAAATGAACAAAGAAGGGAAAAGATACAAGTGCATTACACATGAAAAGAAGGGAAAGATGTAGAGACGTCAAACAGTGCAAACATGTGTCAAATATTTTCAATTAATAAGACGATTGATCGATCAGTTTTGATTTATGACGTAATAATCATACATATTTAGGAATATTAGCTGCTGTTACTATTCTATCTAAAAACATTTTTTTCTGAACTTTATAAAGAACGGCGAATTCTTTACATTGACCTTTTAAATAGAACTTGCATAATAATATGAGAAAAAAAATAAATCTGTGATAGAAAAACTGACTAATGAGTATAGCAGACATTGACATTTTAATTTGATATTAGAGAGAGATTCATCGATAGAGATAGAAATCGATGATCATTATTACTTTCTCAACAGTATTCGAATAAATTTGATTTTTCTTCTAACTAAAAATCGATTCACAAAAAAACTAATGCTCTCTCTTTCTCTCTTCTATTGATCAATGTCTATTATTTGACGATGATACATACAACAGCCGAAAACATATTCGCTCTCTCTCTCTCTCTTTCGAAAAACTTCATGAACCACATGCTAAGTGTGAGAAAACCTCAAAATAATCCATAAAAGATTAATTTTTATCAAACCAGATGTGTTGTTCTTTTAGGAGAAATAGAACTGTATTTAGGCAGACAGATTAATTACTACCACTACTACCTTATTTTTCTTGAACATTCAAATGTATCTGTTTGATAAGATGAATTTCCGGATGTATCAAATGTCTTCTCTCTCTCTCTCCCTGCCTGATGTAACTAACGACGAAAGATGGAGTCTGTTATTGATTTTGTTAATAATTTTTTAATCCAAAAAACAAACAATCAAAGAGTAGATGTCCAATTATCAGTCAATAACAACAGAGAGAAGAAAAAAAAAAAGAAGAAAAATAATAAAATATTCATCGTTGATTTGTCATATATATCGTTTATTCATGTCATGAAAAATTACAGACTACTATGCATTCTTGTTATAAGATTATTATAGGTTGAACAAATGGACATTTCTATTCATCGTATAATTATCAAACAAAAATAGATTTTTTTTTTCTTTTCATTATTTTTTTTTTGAGAAAAATGAGAATTAAAAAGATAAAACGCCCTAAATCGATAGCAATAGTCGAAACTTTTCAAGAAGAAACGACTCATTTAAACAATAAAAGACATTTTTCTGATTTATCAACGTTTTATCTCTAAAGATTGAGCTTTTATACAATCATTATAGACATAGTCACTATCTCAAACCAGACAATTGTAGTTTTTTCTTCTAGAACAATATTAAAATCGCAGAAAAGATTAAGAAAACAAAGCATTCATCCACAACACTAATCCATGTTGACGAACCTTATAATTGTTTTGTTGAAACATTCTAACGTATAGTGTAAATAATGTCAGTATATCTTTTTACTCTACTACTTGTTTCGATTCTCTTCTCTCTCTCGCTCTCTCTCTCTCTCTCTCACTCTCTTCACGTGAGAAATTGTCAAAAATAATTAAAGACAGATTATATACATCTATATCTGTTATAATGGTAACTTATTATTGTTGTTATTGGGATGACATAAAACAAGAAAACGTTTTTCTCTCTCTCTCTCTCTTTCTATTGGAATAATACTTCTCTTTCTTTTTTGTCAACTAAGTACTAAAAATAAATCAAACAAGACCGAAGAGCTGATTACAATCTTTCTATGCAGATTTAATTCAAAGAACACATCCATCCCCTAAAGGTAAGTTAAAAAAACGACTTGTAATCGGATATCAACAGACGCTTTTGTATATACACCATAAAAGTATTATTATTAAGATAATAAAAAAAATCACGTGTACAATCGACCATTCATAATATAAAAACTGTACAAATTAGAAGACAATGATATGAAAAGAAATCATGCTCAACATTTGATCTCATCAAAACGTCCTTTTTCGAAAATTTTGGAAATAGAAAACATTTTTATCAAAAAAAAAAGAAACTTAACTATTTCATCTATCAATACAGAAAATGGTTTATACTTATTAGATTTTTCTTCTTTTTTTTTTGTTCGCTGAAGGTAATTTTAGTTAATCCTGTTATATCATCCATTATAAAAGATTAAAAAGTAATATTCAGTAAATAAATTCTATAGAATGAGGGAGAAACTTACCACACTCAAAAATTGATCTTGATGAAAGGTGATAAGGAATAAAGATCAACTGTTTTTTTTTTCCTTTTACATCATATACAAACATAACAGTTTGTAGCGAGCGAGAGAGAGAGAGAACATTTATGATTAGACGAAGAAGAAAAAAAAAAGACGATTTTTTGGGATAAATATTCTTTTTACAGGATATTTGTTCTCTTTAAAAAAAAATAAAAGAATGATCAAAACGGTTTTATTCTATAATATTTTATAATAATAATTATATCTTAGTGTCTTGAAAAATGTAAAAACTAATAAAATAAGGATAAAGTACTTGTTTTGGTTCACAGGCAAATATCAAATATACATTATATAGAACTACAAGAAAATCATATCATATCAATGAATATTTTCAATAGAAAAACAAAAAAAAAACGGGAATAAATCATTAATTTTGCAAGGATATTGTTTTTTTGATTCTGTAAGATCTCGAGTTTAGATTGTTTTCTAAGTTCCATGTAGCGATGGCAATCAAATCAGTAACCTCATGTTGATACAATAATAATAATTCACCTTTACCATCTCAAACAATGAGATACTTTTTTTTAACACGAAAGCGCAGCGCTATCCTCTCTAACATTTTCTGTTGATAATCTTTTATTTTTACGTCTTACCTTGACTTTTTCTCTATTCTATAACAATGCGTAGAGTGAATAAGTTTTAACAAATTTTGATTATAAGTACATTGAATTTCCTCTCAGTTTTTTTTCTTCTTTTTCTCAGGATAGCGTTAAGGTGATAAGTACGGAAATACAAAAATTTTTATTACTCTCTCAATTATGTAATGTTGATAATAATAAGATCAAAGGAGCGCGAGATTGCAAATATACTTAAAATTAATTGTACAACGTCTTCTCAATGATCAATAATTTTCTGTAGACAATTGACTATTAAAGCGTTTACTATAAATCTAAATTTGTGTGTTAGAGTTCACATTTATACAAAAACTGATCTGGTATTTTCTGATAATTTAGGCTTTATAATCGATTTTTTTTCTCTTGTATTTGAAAAGAATAAAATTTAAATCCATGGACACCGATAGTGGGAAAAAAAAGGCTTTTTGAACACTAGTTTTCGAATGAAATAATAAACAATGAACAAAAAGTCCGTAATCAAATGAATATGGATATTTAATGGCAGGACTTTGTGTAAACTGATAATATTTATTTATTCAGCAAAAAGGAGTTGTTTATTACAAAATTTTAAAAATATATTATTCGAACGTTTCGAGTCACCGACTCATCATCAAAGAAAATTTAGTCATATACTTTTACTTAATTTAGTATATAACTAAATTTTCTCTAATGATGAGTCGGTGACTCGAAACGTTCGAATAATATATTTTTAAAATTTTGTAATAAATAACTCATTTTTGCTGAATAAATAAATATTATCAAGTGCCTAACTAACAGAGATGATACGAAACTTATATGCCTGAAATATATGCCAAACTCATCATGACTTGCTATTTTTGTTTCAGCGTTCTATGAATGAATAAACTAAAAATTTCTTTGTAAAAGATATTTTTAATTAAATTTCTAACTAAATGTTTTTTTTATCCTATACGTTATTTCATGAATAAAAATAATTTCATCTAAAACTACTATTTGTTTAATTACTCATACATTTCTCATCGTCATTATCAAACGCTCTTTTTAAACCAACAAATGGAATATTTCCAATGATCGATCAAAGAGCTAGCGGCTTAGTTTCAGTTCTCTGTACATGTTTAAACTATTCAACCACTTCACTTTTTCTATTTGTCTGTCAATTATTTAGAAACTTATTGGTTCAATAATATTTCCTCCCTCTCTGTTCTTATATCTTTTTTGTCCCTATAAATAGACCACATATTACTATTGCACAATAACAGGATGCAGAAAAGTCTGCCAAGATCCTGTCTATACAACGGAGACATAAGGCGAATCTACAAGGGTTACGTTAGAATCCATAAGCTAATGTATTCGTTTTGCTATCTAAAAGTGCACGAGATGTCCATCTAGGTGTTCGATTGACAATTTACCCGTAATCAACAG